CACCTTTCGTTGGGGTTAAAGGGGTGCTGACTTTATTTCGTGTCACGTCGTTCTGCATCATGGCTTTCTCCGGGTGTGGGTCTCTGTGGAGAGGGGTTCAGCTGTTTGGAACTGCCCCCTCTCTCCTCCGGGGAGGCTGTCTCAAGTTCACACACTCCGCGGCTCCCTCCCCTTGCCTGTCACATTTCTCCTCCCAGCAGGCTTGCCCTGCCTCCAGGGCGGGTGAGGCCCGCAGCACTGAGGCTGGGGCTGTGATTTCCTCCGATTCTTAGTAGGCTCGGCACTGCAGGGGTGGGACCTGCCGTCGAACCCGACTCGCCTCTGAGCCAGGCCTGCCTGGTTTCTTGACGGCGCAGGTTCCCACGAGGAGGCGGCCGACTCCCGCGAGGTTCCAGCCCTACCTGACCTCCGCCCCAGCGCCCTCCCTGTCACCGGTTTTGCTGTCTGCTTAGCGATGCCCATTGTCATCCGAGGGTGGCTCGAGGGGCAGTGTCACATCTTCCATTCCTTCTGCTCTAGGGAAGGGTCTCGAGCCCCGGGTTTTCTCACCCGCTGGCTGGATTTCAGAGCCAGGATGCTGCAGTTGAAGTCTGTACCGAGAACGAGGAGAGACTTGACTTGAGCATGTGAACCAAATCCAAGTAAATTCTCCCTCAGTCATACAGTAGAGGGGAAAACAGGTCCCCCCCGCCCCCACCCCCCGATAATCCAACACACCAATCTGCCTTGTAGTAGAAGCACTTGGATGCCCTTCCACAGTCCTCCTGACTAGTTTTGCGTAGAACCGACCACAGCAAGCCAGTGAGCCGAGCTTTCTGTCTTGTCGGACCCTGAGAAGCCGCTTGTCCCGCTCTCGAGAGGCTGCTTCTGCGGGACCACCGTAGAACTTGTGCCCTCTCGCCAGTGCCAGGCCGGGGAGGCATCTCTTTTGCTGACCCCGCTAACTGCTAGGATGAATGTATAATAACATGTACAGGCTACATCGTAAACAGCACAAAACAGAAGCTGATGTGTGTGGTTAGTCTTTTTAAGAGAATTATAAATACTGTAAGATATCATTTTCTTTTATCGGCATGCCTTTTGTAAATACAAATTATTGACTTATTAAATAGGAAATGGCTTCTGGCTTATGCCATTGTCATGTTTATTTTTATTTTTATACTTTCCTTTCTTCTTAGAACTTAGATGCTGTCAGCCAATGTATATCTCCCAACCAGACAGACAGACAAAAAATTTTTTATTGCTAACGGTCTTTTCCAAATCAACAAAAAAAAAATGATAATATATTTTTGTTCCAATGTGCAATAAATTCTAACCACTTCTATGCAAGATTTGGCTAAACTTCATAATTGTTCTTAGGCCTTGAGATGGGCCGCAGAGCTCGCTGTAAGACACCCCTCCGTCCCCCTCCGTGCTCGTGCTAGTGATGTCATCACGCTACTAAAGCAGAATAATCAGATTTTTCTGAGACCCCCCTCCTCCCCCAGCCCCAGCCCCAGCCCAGCAGGCCTCTCCTCAGTACCACACACACACACACACATGCACACGCACACACACGCACACACGCGCGCGTGCACACACGCACACACACCTTGGAATCCGACGCCTCCGCCTGCGTTGTAGAGAAGCCCCCCACGTCCACACCGTCTGCAGTTTTGCGCTGTTCTTTTCACTTCTCCCACCGCCTCCTCCCTCACCCGCCCACCCCGCTCCACACGTCTTTGGTAGTTCCTGACACCATCACCAGCAGTTTACAACCCGCGGTTAACAGGCATTGAACTGAAAACCCAGTGAGGAACACTTCCGGACCTCTTCACTGAGTGGGTAAGTGGCAACGCTTTGCCAAATATTAACGAAGCCAATCCAAAAGCAGCAGCAGCCACAGTATCACTGCACATATATATATAGATATTATAAATATAATATAAATATTTATTTTTTTGTAGCCAGGTCCTCGGTGCAGTATTTATACTCCACGATCCACCTTTAAAAAAAAAAATACAAACAGAAAAAAAAAAAACAAAGGACAAAGCAAAAAGGTGTGCAATGCTGTTTCTTCCCAATACAGAGCCAAAGCCGCTGCGCAGTAGCTGACTCAGTCGTTGGTTTGTGTGGAAACACACCCCCTCTTCTTTCCCAAGCCGCCTGGTGGCTTTGGGTGCCGAGATCCCGTTACCGAAAGCAGAGGGTGAGAGCGAGGGAAACGCACCCCGTCCACCGGAACTGCCCCCCTCCTCTGCAGGAGCCACTGGGGGCGTCCGGTGGGCTGGGGTGGGAGGAGAAACTGACTCCCGCCAGAGCCCCCGCAAGACAGTGCCCAGAGTTCTTTTATTTTTTTTCGCCACAACCAGTGTGAGCCTGTACCGACTCGTCGTGAAGGTCAGTGTCGGAGCAAGTGCACGGTGGCCCCGCGGCTCTCCGCGGCGAGCGGCCCGCGCGCCACTGCTCTCAGCCAACAGGAAACAATAAAAACCACCCTTTTCTCCACCCTGCAAGGGAAGCCTGTCTTGGTGTGTGTTTGTCGCTTGGTGACCCCTATCCTTGAGTCCTGGGAAGGGGCTGGGAATTGGGGTCTTTCGCACGCCGGAGGACAGGAGGGGACCGGAGGCAGAGAAGGCCGAGGGTCGCTTGGCAAGTTCTGGCTGTGAAGTAGAGATCAGAAGGGAAAGTAGGTCCTGACCCCTCCCCACCCACCACTGCATGTGGCATCTCCCCGCTCCAGGCCGAATTAGTTCCTCCACAGCCTCCTGGCAGAGCCCTTGGGGATGGTGTCAGCCAACCCTGGCAGCGTGTTATGAAAATAAACCACCCCAGCGCCCCAAAGCTTGGGCCAGCACAGTGCCCCGCCAGCCTCCGCCCTGCTAGCCAAGGCTGGAGCCTGGCAGCGTCCCCCTGCCAGCTCGGGCTGGCTTCATTCCCGTTCATGCTGGGGAGAGCGGCACCCTGCCTTGCCCTCCCCCTCCCACCTCGGGGACCCCCCGCCCCGCCCCAGGCCCTGTCTCCCAGTCCAGGAAAAATCTCAGGAGGATTTTGAAGTGCCCGCTCTGGTCCGCTCCAGGAGCTCCACCCTGGAGAAAGGTGGCTGGTAGGTCAGTGCCCTCCTCCCGGCCCCAGCCTCCAGGCCTGCTGAGGAGGTGGGTCGCCATGGTTACGACTTTGAGACTTGAGTCCTGGGCATCTTCTGCAACGATGCCTCTTTCTTTTCTCAGATGTTGCCCAAAGTTTTGCAAAAAGCTTCGTTCATTTTCAGGTACCCCCACCCCCTAGAGAATCGGCTGCAACTAGCCAGCCAGGGGGCACATCAGGAGAGTAGAGGAAGTCGGGTCCGGGACGGGCCCAGCGTTCGCATGGGGCTTCGCTCTGTGCCGCCCTGGGTCTCCTCCTCAAGATTTCCTCCCTTTAAGTGCTCCTGAAGCACCCGCCTGCCCCCGCCCCCCACTGCTGTTTGCTGTACATAGAGGCTAAGTGGGGTGGGGTGGGCGGGTGTGCATGTGTGGTGTGTGTGTGCGTGTGTGTGAAGAATGTACATAGGTAAAGGGGAGCGTGGCCCAGTGGTTCCAGAAAAGGGACAGAACTCCTGCGTTCCATCCCCAGCTCGACCGCTGGCTCGCTATGTGGCCTTGGGCAAGTCACTTAACCTCTCTGTGCCTCAGTTTCCCCGTCTGTAAAATGGGGATAATAATACTGACCTACCTCACAGGGGTGTTGTGAGGCTTTAACTACATGTTTTGTAAACTGTTTTGAGATACAGAGGCAAAGGCACTAGGGAAGGGCAAAGTACCATTTGGACTTCAGGAAGAGGAAATGGAACCATAAGTGCTGCTATTCTGAGAGCCATTTGAATCTGCACTGCTCCACCCACCCCCGCTTCTCATCACCAGGACAGCAGGTCGAGAAACCGTCTTTCCTTTCACTTGCTTCTGGGGTTTGTGATGATTCTAGACACTTCCTTTCCTTCCCTTGCTGTTGTATCTCCTTCCCTCGCCCCCTCGACTTGTTCCCTGTTCCGTTGATGCGGAAATGGCAGAAACGCTTGAGAACTGAGAATGTATCCGTGGATTGGAAGTTTCTAGTCTGAAGTTTCAATTTTACTTTGTACTGTACATCTTTTTACTTTAGAATTTGCAATAAAGGGTTACGTCAATCTTGTTTTCAATCTCCTCTTGGACTGGCCTGTCATTCTTCATTGCTTACACCCGACTGAGGCTGGGGTGGGGTGGGGGTGGGGCGGGGATAAGAATCCCACGCTCCTACCCACCTCTGTCCCCTGAAGCAAAGGGGGTGTGAGATCTCCGGCTCGGGGGCCCAGAGCGGCCAGCAGTACCCGCCACCTAGGTGGAGGGGAACGTTAGGGACTCCAGCGGGACCCTGCGGAGGCCTGGCCTGAGTGGGGAGGGCGGCTTGCAAGCACAGTGCCAGGTGGGGGCAGTCCTCTCTAAATGCTGCATCCCACCCCCGGGTCCAAGAGAGCTCCTTGGCCTAGAAAAGCTTCGGGTCCCCATCACGTTTCTCAGCTCATTCCCTCGACTTCGGCCAGCTCTGACCACCTCTGGTCACCACCGGCCCTGAAGCCTCTTGGGTGAAGAGAGGAACCTTCCAGCTGGGTTTTGAAGATAACAGTGAATGTCACTGCTTAGCCCAGAGCGCTCGGCGCCCAGAAACCGGTGCTGTTAGTTAAGGACTCACTGGAGCGCAGGAGTTCCAGTTGGCGAAGGGAGAAGGGGGCGCCCCCCACCCCCAAAAGGTGGGCTCAGAGGACTACGAGGCTCGCGGACGACGATGCTACACCTGTCTCCGCTGTTAGTTTTATTTTGGCTAAGTTCAGGTGTAGTGTCTGTTCTCATCAGTTTATCCCCAAGATGTGGATTTTTTTTCCCTCCCTCGTAGTCCCAGAGAATGGGGAACTGTTCCTGCAAATACATATTTACTTTTTCAGAGTCGAAAACATTTTTTTTTTAAGAGGCAGTCCCAGGTGCGCCCTCCGGCAGGCAGCCGCTGGTTCAGGCGGCGGCGCAGTGCCAGCGCGCTGGCCCCCGCGCGTCCGTCGCGCGGCCCCGACGGCACGCGTCGCTGCGCTCCCGGACGGGGCGCGGTGGGCCGGCGGCGTCCAGGCCGGGGCAGGGCGGCGGCGTCCAGGCCGGGGCTGTCCCCGCGAGCCCGAGCGTGAGCAGGACGAGCAGCGCCGCGGTGCCCAGCGCGCCCAGGAAGCCGGCCAGGAGGCCGAGCGCCAGTGGCCGGGCCCAGCCCAGGGGGCTGCGCGCGTAGGGCGCCTGCGGCCGCCGCTCGATGACCAGCTCCAGCGCGTCCCAGCCCAGCTCGAGGTCCGGGGCGGCGGCGCGGCGGGGCCGGGGGGCCGGGGGCGCGGCGGGGGCGCCCGGGCCGGGCAGGTAGCGCTGCCCGTCGTGGCGCAGCCGCAGCGTCGCCTGCTGGTGCAGGCCCTTGCCCAGCTCCCGGGCCACGTCGGGGCGGCCGCTGCGCCGCAGGGCGCGGGCCACGCGGTCCCACGACAGCGACGGGGCCGCGGCCGCCAGCCACGCGGCCAGCGCCTCCCGGCAACCCGCCGCCGCCTCGGTCGCCGCCGCCCGCCGTCGCCGTCGCCGTCGCCGCCGCCCGGGCCGCTCGGACGCGCGTCCCCGGGAGCGCCACCCGGGCCCCGGCGTTGGGGCGCGGGCCAGGTGGTCCTCGGAAAGCCGGGCCAGCTCGGCCTCCACGTCCGGGTCCGGCGCCTTCAGCAGCGACTGGAAGTGGTCGCACTCCTCCGGGGTCAGCAGCTCGGCCACACGGACGGCCTGGTGGGAGCCCACGGCGTCCACGGCCCTCGCGGGCGCCAGCGCGCAGCCCCACAGCCCCAGCGCCAGGGCCGCGGCCAGCGCCCGAGCCATCGCCAGCGCGCCCAGCGACGCCCCGCGCCGGGCCTGTGGGGGAGGGGTCCGAACGCTCTCGGCTGGGGGAGGGGCGGGCCCCCCTTGACTGGTGGACGGGGAGTAGGACCGCCCAAGACTCACACACCTGGAGGGGTGGAGGGGGTCCCCGTACCACCCAGGAATTGCAGCGGGAGAGCTTCCTAGTAGCCCAGATGGGTGGGACTTAATCCCCCCAAAAAGGAAGACCCTAGACCCTCATTCTGGAAGTCCCGGCTCTCCTGGCCAGGTCACTATCGCTCCAAGGTTCTGGCACCAAGGTTCTGGTTCTTAACTACAGTTAACCCTTACCAGGCGCCGTGGAACACCTGTCCATCATCATCGTCCCCCTTGGCCAAATCCTCCGTTCTCTCACCGACTACCTCCTAAATAGATGTTCACGTGCCTTGGAGCAATAGGGACAGGATTTGGGCCCAAAACCGAAAAAGTGTTGAATTGATACTGCTTTGGGTTTGGAGATCATACCCTCAAGGTTCCCCATGCACATTCAGGGTTTCCCGTGCAAAACACATGCTCAGCCCCTTAAGCCTTGCTCCAAACCAAACTGGGGTATCTTGCTGGTTTCTGTCCATAAGTCTTCTTGCACGCCCAACACACACACACACACTCATCAGGAACACGGACCTCAAACTGCAGCTTCTGCTCCTCCAGGGACTAAGGATATGTTCTCGGTGTGTTTGTTAACGTTTTTTGTTTGCGTGAGGGGCCACACCCAGCCATACTCAGGACTTACTCCTGCCCCCGTGCTCAGGGATCACTCCTAGCCAGCTCCGAGGACCATTGTCGGGTGCCGGGGATCGAACCCAGACCAGCTGTGTGCAAGGTAGGCACCTTACCCTCTGTATTAATCACTTCTGCCCCAAAAGTTTGTTGTCTATTTTTAAATGTTTTGATTTGGGGTGAGAGAGCCCCCCACCCCCATGAGCTGGAGTGATAGCACAGTGATAGGGCATTTGCCTTGCACGTGGCTGGCCCGGCCGAGCCGGGTTCGATTCCTTCGCCCCTCTTGGAGACTCCGGCAAGCCACCGAGAGTATCTCGTCCGCACAGCAAAGCCTGGCAAGCTACCCGTGGCATATTTGATATGCCAAACCCAGTAACAGAAGTCTCACAATGGAGACGTTACTGGGCCCACTCGAGCTAATCGATGAACAACGGGAGGACAGTGCTACAGTGCTTGATTTGGGGTGACACCCAGCAGTGCTTGGGCTCTGTTCCAGGGGAGTCACTTCCAAAGATGCTCAGGGAACCAGGAGGCACCAGGACCAAGCACAGACCAAACAGAACATGCACAGCACATATGTTCTCAAGCCCCCTGAGCCTTCTCCCTGGTCCAGTGTTTTGACGGGTCTTTCATCCTCCATCAGGTTATTTATATAGAAAGGAATGAATTAAAATATTTAACATTGTCATCAATATACCAAATATCATTCTAGGTGTAGCACTGTCCACTGTCCTCCCATTGTTCATCGATCTGCTCAAGCAGGCACCAGTAACGTCTCCATCGTGAGACTTGTTGTTACTGTGTTTGGCATATCGAATACGCCACGGGGAGCTTGCCAGGCTCTGCCATGCAGGTGGGATATTCTCAGTAGCTTGCTGGGCTCTCCAAGAGGGACGAAGGAATTGAACCCGGGTCGGCCGCATGCAAGGCAAACGCTCTACCTGCTGTGCTATCACTCCAGCCCATTCTAAGTGTGACGATATAAAATGCTAAGATATGCCCACCCGCAAGTAGCTTTTATCCAGAGCTGTTTCTGAGCTTTCTCTTCCGTCCACTGTGGGCTCGGCCAGTGCCATCTCTGCACTGCTGCCTCCAGACCAGGTATGAGGTGCCATCTGGCCGTCCACATGAGAGCTGGGGTCACTGAACCCCAGGTAACGCTCAGAAGTCCACACCCACAGAGGGCAATCTACAGGGTCCTGACTTCACTTGCTCTGCCCCACCCCTAGGAGCCTACTGGATGAAGCCTAGGTACAGTGCTCATCCCTGGAACCCTGGGGCACAGGCACAGAGAATTCAAGCCCCTCCTAAATCCACGGTTCTAAAGTCCTCGCTAGTATCCGCTCACAGTTTTTCCAACCAGATATTTCTTCCGAGTTTCTGATGAACTGTCAGAGTGAGCTCAGAGACTGACAGATGGGGGGGAAAATCCCAAGTTAGCATTAAAAGCCTGAAGTTTGGGGCTGATGACTAATACAGGGGGGTTAAGGCACTTGCCTAGTAGACAGCAGATCCCCTGGTTCAATCCCCAGCACTGTCCATGGCCCCCTGCACACCACCAGAGCTCATTCCTGAGCACAGAGCGTGAGTAGTTTCCTGAGTACTGCCAGGTGTGGACCCCAAAAACCGAGGGAGAGGGGCTGGAGAGATAGCACAGCGGGGAGGGCGTTTGCCTTGCACGCGGCCGACCCGGGTTCGATTCCCAGCATCCCATGTGGTCCCCTGAGCACCGCCAGGAGTAACTCCTGAATGCAGAGCCAGGAGTAACCCCTGAGCATCGCCGGGTGTGACCCAAAAAGAAAAAAAATACCGAGGGAGAAAAAAAAACCCTGGAGCTATCTTCACCCCAAAATAGAATACAAGCACCAGCCTAGCTCTAAGACTGCTGTCCAGATGCTGGGCGAATCTGCCCCTCCCACCTCCCCTTCCTCCATTCATTCCTTCATTTGGTCCACTCCTCTCTCCCAACTGACTTCCAGGCTGTGGAAATAAATAATGAAGTTAATGAGTGAGTCAGCTCCATTCTTTGAGCCCAGGAGTGCAAGGGAATTCTCTGTCCAGGGATTCCCAAAGAGGTTCCTCATCCTGTTCCCTCCACGGCAAACCCAGCGAGCAGTGGCTGTGTGGAAGGACCCAAGTCCCACAGTGTTGTTGTTTTTTTTTGGCTCGAGTAATAGAGACCCTTCCCAATCCACACCCATGGCACGCCGAGACCCCGGGAGACACCCCACATTGTGATCCCCCCCAAGAAATCCTCCGGAAAGCACACGTCATTGCTTTAATACTGTGTAATACTTTTTCTTAAAATACAGTCTCTTCTGAGGTAGACAGACCACACGGCAGAGCATCACAAACAGGAGATAAATACGTCCATGTACAACACACAGCAAAATGAGGTAGAAATGGTTACAGCTGGAGAGGACCCCAACCCCAACCTGGCTAGAGGGAGGAGGGGGCCAGCTTATTGAGTCTACCCTCCCCCAATCCCTGCCCCTGGATTCTTTGGTATGCCCCCCCACACACATTGCCAGAGCTGGACCTGCCCTGTCCCTCCCGCCCAGTGCCCATGAGGTAGGTGCTGACAGACTGGGGCAGTCTTCTTGTGCAAGTGCCCCAAGGCCAGTAGAGAAGGTGGTGAGGGCCCTAGGTCTCCATCAGTAAGCGCCCCCCCAAACCCCCAGAGCTGCCTACCTCACGAAGGGAAGACTGGAATCCCAACCCCACTTCCACACCCCCCCAAAAAACAAAAAAAAACATTTCACACCTGAGAGAACCTCCTGGCCCAGGGCCTTTTGCCCACTAGAGCGCTGCCATGAGCCAGCCCCGTGGGGAGGAGCACCCCACAGAGACAGAGGGGGAGGACAGCAGCTTCCGGTGAGGCCCACACACCTTGGCACTGAAATGTTCCCAGAGACTCCCTTCCAGCGGGCAGGGGAGGTGGCAGAGAGCAGGAGCTCCCTGGGGGGACAGGAGGGACAGGAAAGAGGCTGGGAGAGGGCGGAGGAGGGCGAAGGGCCCGCCCCAACCTGCACCCTGACACCTGACCGACAGGTGTGAGGAGAAAACTTCTGAGAAGGAAGGAGCACCGGGCGGGCATCACTGAGCAACCGCCCAGAAGTCAGGGAGCGCTGCCCGCCCCTGCGGACCTAGGGCCTGGAAAATGGAAGGCAGCGCCCCCCAGAAGCTGCCCTGGGACCAGGGTCCCCTCCCAGCAGCCGAGAGCTAAGGTCTCGGTCAGTCTGTGCCCTCCGGGCCCTGGGGTTACACTGTCCCCCTCCTCAGGGACCTCTTGAGATGACCCCTCTTCTGTAGAACCACCTTCTCCCCAGAGCCCTCGGCCTATGTCCTGTTTCTGGGGCAGGAAGGGGAGAGAGAGCTTCACACTCATAAGCAGGGGTGGAGGCCGGGGGGGCGGAGGGACCAAGCCCCAGCCCTCTGCAAGGAAGCTGCAAGGAAGGGGGTTACATTCTGCCTCTCCCCCGGGCGGGGCAAGGGGCCTCCCTCTCCCCATCGCTGCCAGCTCCCGGGGGTCCAGGGTCTTGGGGCGGAAGTGCCGGGAGGGGTGGGGCGGGGAGGGCACAGGAGAGCAGCCAAAGTCGAACATTCTTTCTGAGGTCAGTTTCTTCCTGAGTCGTCAAAAGAAAAAAGGAAAATGGCAAATCCTACACATCTTACAAAAATAAGAGGCCTACCATATTCAACAAGCTCTATTTCTGGGATTTTTCCCTAAAAAAAGAACACAAACAATAAACTTTCTTTGGGCGTTGGTGTTGTTTTTTTTTTTTTTGTTCTTGGTTTTTTTCTTGATTTCCCCCCTCGCCCCAGATCCAATGTTTCAGCTGAGCGGGGGAGGGGGAGGTGGAGGGGACTCCCTATCCCGGTCCCTGAGCCCCCAGCTCACCTGCAAAGGGGCAGACAGTCGTGGAAGGGAGGGGCAGAAGGCAGAGGGGTGCCAGGAGCACGGGGCGGGGGTGAATTGGAGGAGAGGGAGGTGTGGGGCGGGGCGGGGCGGGGCGGCCTGGGGGTGGACAGCGACAAAACCAAGGGACAGCGAATTGGCTGGAGGAGGGGGGCATTCCGCGGCGAGGAGACCAAAGGATTGTGGCGAGAGCGCAGGGAGGAAGGAGTTCCTCTGGCCCCGGGGCGCAAGCCCGTCCCGTCCGTCCGTCCCGGTCTGCCCGTCGGTCCGTCCCGTCGGGGCGGAGGCCGAGGAGGCCGGTTCCCGCCCGCAATAAATAGGAGAAACCTGAGTACACGGCGCATTTGGCATCTCTCTGCCTAGCAGGAGCACTTCCCTTCCCCGAAGGGAGAACCACCGGCAGCCCCTCCCCTCCCCTCCCCGCCCCCCGGGGTCCGAGTCCGTGGGCCCCGCGGGCCGCGGCGTCAGTGTCCGGAGCCGTACATCTTGTCCCACTCCACCAGGGAGTCCAGGTCCTTGGCGGAGGCCCTGGGGCCCACCTGGGCCAGCGCCGCCTCCAGGTCCTTGTAGGCCAGGGGCCGCTGCAGCCGCGGGAGGCCCGCGCCGGCCGCCGCCTGCTGGCACAGCTGCCCCAGCTGCGCCCCGGACAGGCCCTGGGTGCCCTGCACCAGCGCCGCCAGCTCCCGCTCGCTCAGCGCGCAGCCCTGCTGGGCCAGCGCCCGCTGCAGGATCTGGCCGCGCGCGGGGCCGTCGGGCAGGGCCACGTAGAAGCGGAGCGCGAAGCGCCGGCGGGTGGCCTCGTCCAGCGCGGCGGGCCGCGAGGTGGTGCCCACCACCAGCACGCCGTCGGGCCCCGCGCCGCCGCCGCCGCCGCCGTCCAGGCAGGCCAGCAGCGGCGCCTGCAGCACGGCCGCCGCGCCGTCGTCGCGGGCCGCGGGGAAGAGCGCGTCCAGCTCGCTGAGCAGGAGCACGGCGGGCGGGCGGCAGCGCGCGGCGGCGAAGGCGGCCTGGAGCAGGCGCGCGCCCTCGACGGCGCCCGGCGCGGCCAGCGCGGCCCCGCGGAGCCGCAGCAGCGTGGCGCCCAGCTGCGTGGCCAGGCAGCGGCCCAGCAGCGCCTTGCCGGCGCCCCGCGGGCCGAAGAAGAGCACGGCGCGCGGGGGGCGCGGGCCGCCGGGGTAGGCGGGCGGCCGCAGGAGGGGCCACACCAGCTCCTCCTCCAGGGCCGCCTTGAGCGCGCCCTGGCCCGCCACGTCCGCCCACTGCACGGGGGGCCCGCAGTCCAGCATGCGGCTGGCCACCAGCTCCAGGGCGCCCGGGTCCGCCGCGCCCTTGGGCGGCTCCCCCGCCGCGGGCCCCGCGAAGCCCGTCGGGGCGCGCTCGGGGAACTTGTCGAAGGGCTCGAGCGGCGGCGCGCCGCAGGCGGGGGCGCCCAGGCCCTTGAACTTGGCCGCCGGCTCGTCCTTGGGGCCGCCGGGGCCCGGCTCGTAGGCGCACTTGCGGCGGCGGCCGTCGGCGCCCTCGTCGGCCGCCTTGCGCTTCAGCGACGCGCCCGCGGCCTCGGGCAGGCCGTAGGGCGCGGGCGCGGGCGCGGGCGCGGGCAGGGGCGTGGGCGCCGCCAGCCCCGACGGCAGGTAGGGCGCGGGCGGCGCGGCGGGGGCCGGCGGCAGCGCCCCGTAGCCGGGCTGCGCGCCGTAGCCCCCCGCCGGGTAGTTGTAGAGGGGCGCGGGGGCCCCGTAGCCCGGCGGCGGCGGCGGGGGGCGGCGGCGGCGGCGGCGGGGGCGGCAGGAGCGCGGCGCCCGTCTGCGCGCAGTACCCGGGGGTCAGGTACCCGCCGCCGTAGCCCGCCGCGTACTCGGGCGCCGCCGCCGCCGACGGGCCCCCGCACGCATTGCCCGCGTAGAGGGGCTCAGGCAGGCCGCCCGCCAACGCCGGGGAGCCCCCGAGGCCCCCCGAGCCGGCCCCGCTCGTGGGCTTGCTGCCCGGGAGGCCCTCGTGCAGCGCGGCCAGCGGGTAGGGCGGCTCGGGCCCGGGCCACGGCTCGGGGTCCCCCTTGGCGCCGTTGAGGAAGGCCGCGTCGCCGTAGCCGCCCAGGGCAGGGCGCTCGTAGGGCGAGTCCAGGACCCCCGAGTACTTCTCCGCGTAGCGCTTGAGCAGGTTGGAGGCCGTGAGCGCGGAGATGTCGTCGTGGGCCCAAGCGTAGTGGCAGCGCTGGCGGCCCCCGGGGGGCAGCTCCAACTTGTGGGCCGGCGACGGGGTAGTGGAGGAGACGTCCAGGTGCTGCTCTGGCCACTGGCTGAGGGGCTGGGCGTGTTCCGGTGTCCAGTGCATCTTCAACAGAGCTGCGGGCGAGAGGAGAGGCCGGCGTGAGGTCCTGGGGCCTAGGGACCGAGTGACCACCCGCCCGACAGCGCGGACCGGCTGTTTTCCCGGCTCGCTAGGACTGCCCTGGCATCCGGCACTCGCTGTTCGTCCCTGCGACCCGGCTCTCAGAGTTACCTGAAAATACTTTCCTCGGAGGAGTCTGGAAAACGCAGAAGCAACGGCCAAGATGTTCGTCCTGGCCACAACAGCCCTGCCCCCGGGACACCCGACCAAACCCAATGTATCGAAGGGCCAGGCAGGCCTGGGAATGGTCGAGATCAGTGAGGCTTATTCAGCCTGCGGGTCCTGTACACACGGGCTGACCAGTGGGGAGGCTGCCCAGAGGCCTGGCCCTGGGCCCAGCAGCGGGTCCTGGATGCTCTGTTCGGCTCAGCCTTGCCCAGATCAAAGAGCTGCTCAGAGCCTGAGGTCAGAATGCTCCATCGCCCCTAGCACTGGCCGCAAAGAATTCCTTTCCTTGATGCTTGATACCCGTTAGACTCTCTCCAATGACGGCAGCATCCCTGGCTACATCCCTGGCTGCCCCCTTGCTCGGGACAGCTGTGTCCCATGGCAGGTGCTGCCACTTGCCGCCTTCTCAAACTGACACAAGATGCTTTAGGCTGATATGATACCCAGAACACTGGGGAAATTATCGAAGAGGGGCGCCGGAGTGATTGTATAGCGAGATAGTATAGCTTTGCACATGGCCAACCGAGTTTGATCCCCAGCATCCCATCTACTCCCGTGAGCACTGCCAGGAGTAATTCCTGAGTACAGAGACAGGAATAACCCTGGAGCCTCGCTGGGTGTGACTCAAAAAGCCAAAAAAAAAAAAAAAGTATCAAAGAGAGTCACTGTCACTGTCCTCCCATTGTTCATTGATTTGCTCGAGCAGGCCCAATAACGTCTCCATTGTGACACTTGTTACTGTGTTTGGCGTATCAAATACATCACAGCTAGCTTGCCAGGCTTTGCCGTATGGGTGAGATACTCTTGGTAGCTCACTGGGCTCTCCAAGAGGGGCAGAGGAATCGAACCTGGGTCGGCCAGGTCGGCCACGTGTAAGGCAAACGCTCTACCCACTGTGCTATTGCTCCAACCCATCAAAGAGAGTAGGTCACTAATTTGTCTCTGAGCTTCCTAGTAATCAGGCATGAGAAAGAAAAAAAGAAAAGATTTGATCAGGGTAATAGCAGGTAGAGCCTTGCACATGATTGACCCAGGTTTGATTCCAAGCACCCCCTACGGTCTCCAGCACTGGCCAGAAATGATTCCCTGAGCACAGAGCCAAGAGTAAGTCCTGAGCACCACCAGTGTGACTCAAAAACAAAACGCAAGCAAACAAACAAAAGGGCGTTCGCCTTACAAGTGGCCAACATGGCCGACCCGAGTTCGATTCCTCCGCCCCTCTCGGAGAGCCCAGCAAGCTACCGAGAGTATTGGATATGCCAGACACAGTAACAACAAAGTCTCCAATGGAGACGTTACTGGGCCCGCTCGAGCAAATCGACGATCAACGGGAGGGCCTTTACCTTTTACCTTTTAAAGTGAAAGGAAGCAAAATGTCCCTGGCATAGAGATCATGGGATCTGTTCTCGTGGACCTCTGGAAAAGAGTACCAAGAACTGTCATAAACAAGGTTCTCTGAGATATCCAGAAACACATCAGAATCATTCTCTGCTGTTTCTGACACTGTCCCTGGGCAGCAGCGAAGGCTTGAGCCAGTCTGGACAAGGACCTCGTGGGCTCAGGGGCCTGAGAACAGCAGCATCCTGGCGCTCTGACCCAGCGGGTTGGCCAGGAACAGGTGAGATGGCTCCGAGGCCTGAAATGTTTGCTTCACAAGCGTAAGACCCTGAGTTCCATCCCCAGGCCCACATGTCCTCATCACCATCACCACCAGGTGGCGCCTTGGAGACCTTTTACCACTGGTATGGTGATAGTGGCCCAAGCATTGAACCCTCAGGCCCAGGCGCCCAGAGTGCCCAGAATGGCCACTAGACACCTAATTGCTGCTGGGAGACCTTTGAAAAATGAACGAACAGGGGCTGGAGAGATAGCACAGCGGGTAGGGCGTTTGCCTTGCACGCGGCCGACCCGGGTTCGATTCCCAGCATCCCATATGGTCCCCTGAGCACCGCCAGGAGTAACTCCTGAGTGCAGAGCCAGGACTAACCCCTGTGCATCTCTGGGTGTGACCCAAAAAGAAAAAAATAAAATAATTTTTAAAAATAAAAGTGAACGAACAAACAAAAAGGTTAACACAAAGCAAAAAAATCTCAGACTAGGGGCTGGAGAGATAGCACAGCGGGGAGGGCGTTTGCCTTGCACACGGCCGACCCAGGTTCGATTCCCAGCATCCCATATGGTCCCCTGAGCACCGCCAGGAGTAACTCCTGAATGCAGAGCCAGGAGGAACCCCTGTGCATCGCCAGGTGTGACCCAAAAAGCAAAAAAAATAAAAAATCTTAGACTAGGGGGCTGAGGCGCTCCTTGGGTGTTCATGTTTGGAGCACCATCAGGAGCACTCCCAAGGGTAGCTCCTAAGCTCTGCCAAGTATGGTCCCCACCCCCACCCCCAAAAATCTCAGGCCAAATAGTCCCATACATATAGGAGTTTTTGCTGACGATCATTTCTCAAACCTCAACTTTTCATGACAGGCTCACTTTACAGTTTCAATCTTTTTGTTGTTGTTGTTCAATAAATGATGACTGAGCAAATACTAAGTGCTGCTATATTTGGCATGGAGGCTGAAGGATGACTTTAATGTTCAGCCGGGTACTGGGGACAGGCAGGTAACATTCTTTTTTGAAGTAGGGGAGTAGAGATCTGTGTCAGGATTCCGGGCCTAGGCTGAGTGCCATCTCTGGTTAAGAAGACCTCTCCAGGGGCTGGAGCGATAGCACAGTGGGTAGGGGGATTGCCTTGCATGCGGCCGACCCGGGTTCGATTCCCAGCATCCCATATGGTCCCCCGAGCACCGCCAGGAGTGATTCCTGAGTGCAGAGCCAGGAGTAACCCCTGAGCATCGCCAGGTGTGACCCAAAAAGAAAAAAAAAAAAACAAGACGACTTCTCCAGGGGCTGAAGCGATAGCACAGCACGTAGGGCGTTTGCCTTGCATGCGGCCAACTCGGGTTCAATTCCCAGCATCCCAGCATCCCATATGGTCCCCCGAGCACCGCCAGGAGTAATTCCTGAGTACATGAGCCAGGAGTTACCCCTGTGCAACGCCAGGTGTGATCCCTCTCCTCCCCCCACCCAAAAAAAAGACCTCTCAGCGAAGTGGTATCTTCAGTGGTCCTGAAGGGCAAAAAAACAAATCTACCCGACTGACCCAAGCCTTTCCAGAATCTTCACTTTCAGGAAGTCAGCACACAGGCCCTGCTCCTGCCTTCAAGGCGCTTGACTGCCACCTTCTGGAAAACTGTCCTAATGACCACCCATAAATTTCCCACAGGGCTGCTGTGGATTGGCCCTTTGGAAAGGCGAGGGAAGTCCTTACACGGTGTCCTCACTTGCGTGTTCACAGCACTCCCTCTGCTGACCTTACTACCTCCAGTCTCTGAAATAAAGCCACTCACACCCACACTGCCCTAGGAAGGCATCAGCCACAGAAAAAAAGAGAATGCAGGGGGTGGAATGACAGCACAGCAGGTAGGGCGTTTGTCTTGCACGCGGCCCAACCCGGGTTCGATTCCCATCATCCCATATGGTCCCTTGAGCACAGCCAGGAGTAATTCCTGAGTGCATGAACCAGGAGTAAACCCTGTGCATCACTGGGTGTGACCCAAAAAGCAAAAAAAAAAAGAGAGAGAGAGAGAGAGAACACAGAATTCCTTTTTTGGGGGGTGGGGGTGCACTTGGGAGCAGTTCTGGGAATATTCCTGGCCCTAGTGCTCAGGAGTGACCCTGGAGATATTCAGGATACTCAGATACTCAGGAGTCACAGCAAAGGTCTGCTGGGACCTGCAGTTGTAGAAGGAGGCTTGCCTCTCACACTGGAGGGAGACATGGAGGAGGCTGTGTGGGCCACACTGCAGGCAGCCGAGAGCCCGACTGGGGGCGGGCTCACCCCACTGAAACACTCAGCGCAACCAGCCGACCCGGCTTCAATCCCCGGCACTCTACTTGGACCCCTGAGCACTGCCAGGAGTAACTCCTGAGTGCAGAGCCAGGAGTTATATCCCTGAGCCTCACCAGGTGTGGCCCCCCAAAATAAAAACCTAAAAACATTGTGGGAAAGCACGGTCCAGTGGAGGCAGTGTGGAACAGTCAGCAGTGCAGTGAAGAGCCAAGGGGTCCGGGGCCAGAGTGACTGACGGAAGAGTGGATAGAATACTTGCTTTACACACGGCTGGCCCAGCACCCCATGTGGTCCCCCAAGAAGCTGCAGGAGCGATCCCTGAGCGCAGAGCCAACAGTAAGTCTGAGCATCACTGGGTGTGGCCCCAAACTAAAACCAAAGAACCAGGGGCCTAGGGATGGCTGGAAAGGCTGCACACATGCAGGGGGCCAGGCTACAGTTCCTGAAACCACACAGTTCCCCAATCATCACCAGGAGCGACCCCCACCTAGTGCCGGCCACGTGACCCCAAAACCAAACCAGAGCAGGGTGCCAGGAGATAGTTCAAAGAGCACCTGTCCCTTGGTCCAGACACCCACCGGCCCTAGTGGCCTCCAGCTCTGCTGGGCTAGGGTCACACCAGACAGGCCTCAGGCCTCCTGAGCACAGCTTTGGAGATCCCCAAAATAACCACCAAAAACCCAAGCTCAGGGCTGGAGAGAGTACAGTGGACAGGGTGCTTGTCTTCCATGCGACGGACGTGGGGCCAATCCCTGGCCCTCGAGCCCACCAGGAGTAAACGCTGACCACTGCCAGGTGTGTCTCCCTCCCCCACCAAAAGAAAAAAAAAAAGCAGGGGCCCAGACTTGCAGAGAGACTCACAACACGTCATTTCATCCTTGCGCAGGG